GAACACCTTCATATGATTGTTGCTGAATAGGATGGTGAGGGTGATGATGATGACTCGCTTGCGAATATAAAGGAGATAAAGGAGATGTAGATCCAGATGATATTGGCAATATAAATTGTGACTGTTGATAACTGTTTAATATGAACTCTTCTTCTCCTTCTTGTTTAGAATAAAATTCAGATTTAATAATCGTTTGAGAACTATTAGCATCCAAATAACTATTATTACCATTATTATTCATATTGATTTGATCATTGCCACAAAATGTATTATCTACCAAATTGGAGTTATTACCATAAGTTGGAGATTGAACAAAAGGTAGATTGGTAATATAATTATTATGATGATTGCTTCCAGCAAGAGTAGTCATAATTGAATTTGTTGTTTTAATAATAATAAAATAAAACCGTTAAATATATTTGAAAGTTGTTTTAAAGAAAAAAAGTTTTAGTTGTTAAAAAAAAGAAAAAATCTTAAAAATTAAGAAATAAAAAGAAATAATTATTAATAATAGAAAAATTGAAAAAAAAACGATTTAATTTAAAAACTGTGTATATATATATATATTAATATATATATATAGTAATAAATTGAAGGCGAAAAAGAATATAAATACTATTTTTTAATAAAAGATGAGAATTTAAAGAGTAAGATATAACGTAAATTTTTATTTTATATTTCTAATAAAAAAACTAGTTTTTTAAGAAGTGAAAGATTATTTTTTAAAGTATTTTTTTTTTAATTTTTTCCAAATTATATATTATTAATAACTAATATATAATATATATAGAAGATAATTTATTCTTTCTTATTTAATATTATATATACATATATATATATAATATATATATATAATAATAAATTTATAGATATATTTAAAAATAAAAAATTGATAGGAACAATAAACACAAACCGTTTCTTGTTAAAAAAAAAAGAGAAAGAGAAAATAAGAAGGGGCGGGAACGATGATGTTTATATACCAATAAAATAATAAAAATAAAATAAAAATGATTATCTGTGTATATATATATTATACAATTAAGATTTTTTTGAATTGTGTTTTTTTTATAAACAGATTTATGATTTATGATGTCTGATTGAGATGATGTATATTTAGTTAATTACTAATAACAACTTTTTGAACTAATGGTTTGGTTAGTCTAGAATATGTTTATAATCTGTATATTTACAAATATGTCATCAAATATTACTACGCAGTACAGTTTAATTTATTATATAAATATTTATTATTT